ATTCGAAACTAGGGAACATGTTTCGTAGACTACGCCAACCTGGGGTTGTTGTCTTCCCGTGGGATCAATCACAGAATCCCTTCATCCTACACTCTCATAAGGAATGAAAGTCTCTACAACAATCTTAGATGTTAAGACCAAGATAGTGTGGCCTTTTGTTTGATCGCAGACCCCTGGTCGCATTATTGTGGCATGGAAAGAAATATTTGGCAATTTTCTGATTTTTTTAAACTAAATGGATGTAAAAGTCAAATTTGTAAGGGATGCGTAAGAGAATGGACAATCACCTTTTTTGAATGTGGAGTTCATTGTCTCCGAGGATACTTTCAAGAAGCGGCCGTTCCAAAAGAAATCATATCCAGAAATGGTCTTTAACTTGCAGTCTCATCATACTTACAGAATGGAGACTGGGATATTCGGAAGATGAACAAAAATAACTAACCCAGAGGTGTCTTGGAAACGGATATCCCCAAGATGCAATACAACTCAACATACAAATAATGATGGGCAGATGACAGGAAGGATATTATGAAATTAAAATGAGGGAAACAGTGGGTAACCGAATGACATGTCTACTCTCCTGCGAACTGACTCTGAAGTTGCGACCGCTACTATTGAAATGGAATATTTTTACAAGCCTGAAGGTAATAACAACCCTCTTTACCAGCTTACCTACACACTATGAATAATTCAACAAAATTGAATGTTCCCGAGTGAACAGCATAATCTTCAAGGAATGTAAACTAAAGTAGAGCAGAGAAACTGGGAATAGAGTCAACAGAAGAACCAAAGAACATCAGCTATTATGCATAAATATGAATACGGAAGGATCAGAGTTAGGTGAATACATAATTGACTTGAGTTCAACGAAAACACCAGCCTCATTTTGAGAAAACGCCAGAAAACAAAAGTTCACGGCTACCGTGAACATGAATAGGATATTTTTCGAGACTACCAGTAAATCAGTAATATGAGATGTATTCACCATATTTAGTTTTTAGGTGATGAAGGACTGGTATTAAAATTTTCCCACAATGATATGAGTGGAGCTGACGTTTTCATTGCATTTCACATAGCCTTACTTCCCCAAAAGTTTTTCTCATTCAGGCACCAGTGGACTGCAGTTTCGACCTCGCATCAACAGGTTTTATTAACACCCCCAGCGGGAGTCGAACCGTGGCAGGACAGCATGTGAGCTTGACACGTCTACCACTCAGCCACATTGCCACGAGTGCCCTTGGGTCGCAGGGTAGATGTGAATTTTCAAGGAAGGCCAGGCCTTTTTGCCATATCAACGTATGTTTTGCTATAACAATCGACCACTATACTTTATTTTTCGAATTAAGTATTGTTTTTC